TTTTTTTTTTTTTTTTTTTTTTAAGTTTTAGTTATTTTAGTACATCAAAGAAAAAGAGAAATGGTGCTTTGGTAGCTGAAATAAAGATGTAAAAAATAATAAATAGGTTTAATATATAAGTTTAGTTTTTCATATTTCTTTTATTTCAAGTAGCAAAAATGTTTTTTTTTTTATTGTTAACCCTGAACACATGGAGTTTCTGTGCGCTCCGTCTCTGATGTGCCAAAACGTGACCGATTTTTGTTCATAAAATCCTGAATATTTTATAAATAAGTGCATGTGTAGTAGCAGGCTTGTGTGTGAGAATATGAGTGCTGGGCAGTGTTGGGGGTAACTCATTACAAGTAACGCGAGTTACGTAATCAGATTACTTTTTTCAAGTAACTAGTAAAGTAACGCATTACTTTTTTAAATTACAAGAAAAAATCTGAGTTACTTTTTCAAATAAGTAACGCCAGTTACTTTTTCCCATTTATTGACTGACAGCTCTCCTGTCCCCATGTTGAGAGAAATCGGAAGTGCGGAGGAATTGTGTGTGCTGTGTGAACATGATGCTACTGTAGTTCTAGACTAAATGTGAACGTGCATTAATTCATCCCACTCACAAAAAAACAGATTTAGTATTCATCCAAATTCATTAAAACAGTGAAATGCAAACTCAGAATATGACGCAAACCTGCAATAATTAAATATGTTAAATAACACAAATGTATCTAATCCCATTTTATTAACTAATGTCTTTGCTGCTGACCTTTGATGATCCAGTTCAACCATACTAATAGGCAAAAATGACTTTAGATAAACTAACAATTGTGCTTTGTTTTTTTTATTGCTGAAGAGTGTTTCTTCTCCTGCGTTCTACTGTACAGACGTGAATTTACTTTTGCTTCAGCCTGAGGTTTATCCATTACACTTTTTGGCGTGAAAGGGCTTTTATATTTGCTATAAATAGAACTAATCAAGCCCTGCTTATATTTAAAAAGTAACGCGAAAGTAACGTAACGCATTACTTTCCATAAAAAGTAACGCAATATTGTTATGCGTTACTTTTAAAAGTAACTTTCCCCAACACTGGTGCTGGGTGTCAGTGATATTGGGGTCAGGTTAAAGCTCAGCTCAGCAACAACAAAAGAACACAAACAACAGGGCAAAATCATCACGAAAACTATACATATCAGTACTGTATAATAGTTACACAAACATCAACACACCCTGATCCGATTTGTATTGAATACGAAAGCACTAACAGACGGAATGTATGTTTTTGATTCGTAAACAGCCATAATAATCACTGATATAACACTAGGATTGGTCTATATAGTATGCGTGCTTATATTTAATGAAATGTACTGTAACTGTGTACTGTTTTTAGACGCGTTTCCTTTAAATCTGCATAATGACCGTGTATCAGCTGACTGTCAATAGATCAGACGACAACACGCCGAATAAACAGGACAAAAACAGCGCAAACCCACCGAGAACGAGAGCGAAACGACATTTACCTGAAGCACATTATCACCTCAGATCCGTCAAACCAGTCCGATGAGAAACCAAATGATGGAAATGAGAGAAATAACGCGGAGTCACCGCGTTAATGTAACGTTACATCCATCAAGACTCACGATGACACGAAATATAATATAACGTCCTTCAGCGAATAATGAGCCTGAACGCGAACTGCTTTAAAATCGATCTGAAGCCGTTTCAGTGCAATATTATGAGCTTATTCATGACTGTTGACGGTATTTCATCGCCAGAGAGCGAAACTCGGCCGCCATGATGAAGCTCACCGTGACTCACCTCACGGGCCGCGGATTAAATCCCGCTCCGCTGCCTGCATAGACAGCACGGGATTACTGCACGCGCCTTTGACGCTCCCGCTCCATTTTGTGTACTAGACAGGGGACTTGAGAGGTGTCGAGACACAGCCTCGCGCTCACCGGGCAGGTGGAGCTGAAACCTGAACCAGATAATAAACAAGAGAAGGGTGGAGACCGACAAAGTGACAGAATAAATGAATGCATGTGCATTCGTTAAAATTTTTTTTTTTTTAATTATATATATATATATATATATAATAACACAATATAGCTACATGTTAAGAGTCATAAAGAAACATAAAAAAAAATCTAACTTTAGTATTAAAGGTCAGTTATCTCATTTCTGCGCCACTAGCGTCACCAGACCTGATCAAAAATATTGATTACTTCCACTGATCTCTATTATAGATCAGTGATTAGCTACTTCTAAACCAATTGTCCCAAACGCACACTACTGTGCCTAAGAATTTGATGTGTTGGACTCTAGTTTAAGGGATATATCTTCAGATTTCTTGTTTTGTTGAAATATTTTATTCATAATCAATGATCCAAACATTTAGAATTTATTCTTTTTATTATTATTTTAAAATAATATATATATAATTTCTTATTATAGCTTATTAATTCGTTTAGTTTCTATGATCACATTTTTCGTATATGTATGAAGAAGAAGAATACTACTGATATAGCTCCTGTAATTACACCATGTGTCTAGGGGTCACCAAACTCAGTCCCGGAGGGCCGGTGTCCTGCAGAGTTTAGCTCCAAGCTAGGGCTGCACAATTAATCGAATTTCTAATCGCGATTACAAGTACGGATGTCACAATAATGTAATCGTTCAACGCAGCAATTAATCGTTCAAAGTCCACTTATGTTATTCTGTGTGCTTAAGATCTGTTTTTTTTTAGTTATCTTAAGAGTTTTTCCATTGTTTTAATTTTAATGTTTTAATGTGACATTATAATACCATGCATATTTTACCTTTTTTTATTTAAAGAAGAAACCAATCCAATGAAAAGATGCCGTTTGAGGCTTAATACTACAGTAATGCAAAAAAGTTTTTTTTCGGTTTGAGCGTTTTCAGCTTGTTTGTTTTCATCTGAAATTATGGCATGCGGTTGCTTCAAACAATGATATATCATCATTCGATGTAAATTGTGATAATCGTAATTAATAATCGCAATTACAATTTCAAGGGAATAATCGACAATTATGATTTTGGTCATAATCGTGCAGCCCTACTCCAAGCCTAATAAAACACACCTGAACCAGCTAATCAAGGTCTTACTAGGTATACTTGAAACTTCCAGGCAGGTGTGTTGAGGCAAGTTGGAGCTAAACTTTGCAGTACACCACCGGCCCTCCAGGACCGAGTTTTGTGTCCACTGGTCTAATCAGTCCATCAGTGTTGACGTTGTCCTTTTCCTGTAGATCCAGTGCGATCAATCTCATCTACAGCAGATTGCAGCTGATTGCATGAGTGCAAAAGGAAAATTATTTGTGCATGAGAAAAAGTGTGACATTTCAGGACTGTAACAGATCGCTGTGCTTTCGAATATTAAACTTGACATTATCACTACAATGCATATATATTTTTTGCTATGCAACTATTAATTCATTCCATAATTTAGATTATAAAATGTTGCCGACTTTCAGACATTGATGCCTTTTCAGTTTACAATGACAAAATTACAGCTGTTGTGCATTTGCATTTATTAATTAATCATACTAGTATTAATTTATTTAGTAATGAATCTAAATAGTATTAAGTACTTTTTGTATTAAAACTGATTGTACTTATTTTAAAGAAATATGTGTTTGTAGACAGTAAAGCGTGTTACTGTGTCCACAAGAAACACAGTAAGACAAATCCTGTTGGAGATCAATTTCATTAGCAAAAAATGTGTGGTGTAATAATATGAAACATTTTATCACACCAGAAAGTTCCCATTGTGTCCAAACTATGTTCAGCTGCTATATTTCCTCTGTTCAAATGAACCAATAATAACTGCAACTCATGTGGTAAAAGCAGAGTGTGACTTTCCATCAGTATGTTGACCCAGGGAAATAATTCTATACTTAGATTAAATCAATGGGATATGTGACCTAGTAAAGGCTAATCAGAGATGAATGAATAAAAAGCAGAAAGGACGTGTTAAATGTGACAATTCTCTTATTAGCATGTGACTCTACAGACTAATCACTTAAGCGCTCATTATTCCCTTGAGTCAAGCGGCTCATTACTCTGCCACGAGTTACATCTGAAAATGTCAGAACATGTCATGAATTTAAGACCATGCCAAATGATTTATTGTCAGTTCTCTCCTCATTTAATATACTGTAATTTCTCCTCCTCTAACAGATACATTGCAGAACATATGGTTGTGACAGGCTTCACATGCAGGGATGAATGTGTCATAGAAGTCTTCCTGAACTCAACATTTATCAGTCATTTTGATGACATGCTTGTTCAGATGCCTGCGACATAGTCAAGGGTGTTTCGCATGAACAGCAGAGGGCTGAGCACCGAGCCATGGGGAACACCTGGATCCGATCTGAGACACTACGAGCTTTGATAGTGGATTCTAACAACTGTTGACTAGTTAGTCAACAGTTCAAATATCCAAAGCATATTTGTCTTGAAAAGGAGTGGTTTCATTCAACTAAAACACACAGCAAGAGTAATAGTTTAGGGGCTAATCTGATCACCATACTTTAACATTACGCTCTATATAACTGAAACTTAGCAATGACCAACATGTTTGCTCATTTTTGCACATTTTTAATTTTTGTTCACATTAAGAAGTGAGATATAACTTTATGCTGTTCCAATGCATGAAGTCAAAGAGCTACACTGTTAAAAAGAAAGGTTATTTATTGGAATTAATGGTACCATGAAGAACCTTTAACATCCAAGGAACCTTTCCATTCCACAAAAGTTTATTTAGTGGAAAAGGGTTCTTTAGATTATTAAAATGTTCTTCACAATAAGAAAACTTTTTTTTAAAGAACTGTTCACTGAAAGGTTGTTTGGGAACCCAAAATGCTTCTTTTATGGCATCGCTGTGAAAACCTCAGTTTCAGAAACTTTATTTTTTAAGAATGAATTTACACAATAAACAGTCACGTGTTAAATTATGGCTGCCATTCACCTGTCTGATGTTATGCCAGATCACGGGCCGTTAATGACACACATCCCTGTTACTGGATAATATAATGACCAGTTCACTGACCTAATCAGGTCACATCATTATCATTTAGATGGTTAAGGCTCCTTGATTGTAGCTAACAGGGAATAATGTGATAAAATCACGCAGCAAAGTGGTATAAAAGAGTCTTCTTACAGTGTACAAATGAACATTGCTGCTTAAAAGCTAAATCGCTTCACTAGCTCTCAATTTCAGCCTTGGTAAAGTAAGTACTGCATCTTTACTTAAAAGTATTGTTATATTTAGAGTCTGTTGTGTTACTATTGTGTCTCTGGCACAGATATGTTTGGAGGTTTGCTCTCAGTGGTTGGTCTGCTGTGTCTGCTGTCCATTTGTTCAGCCTGTTATATCTCTAACTGCCCCATTGGCGGCAAACGAGCCGTACAGGATTGGCCGTCTCGACAGGTGTGTTCATTCATTCATTCATGAGAACTTCTTGGCCTGAAATTGAACATTGAGCTTTAATTTCCTCCTTCTCTGCAGTGTTTGTCATGTGGTCCCGGCGATCATGGTCGGTGTTTTGGTCCCAGTATCTGCTGTGGTGAAGGTATCGGCTGCTTGGTTGGCTCTCCAGAAACACTCCGCTGTCTGGAGGAAGATTTTCTTCCTTCTCCATGTGAAGTGTCTGGAAAAGCGTGCGGTTATGAAGGACACTGCGCTGCTCCTGGGGTCTGCTGTGACTCAGGTTAGTTTTACCCATTTATATTATAGACAGAGGTGTAAAATACCTGATTACTCTATTAAAGTATATTTAGGGAGATTTTGTACTTTACTCAAGTGCAATTTAAACAGACTACTGGAATACTTTTTTGAAGAAAAAACATAGTTTTACCCCTTACAATTTTAACTTGAAAAGTATTCATTACATTTTTGCAGATTGTTTTCTACCATCTCATGCACATCAAATATAATAAATGAAAGCTCAAACATGCATGCTTGACAAATGATGAACCAATGATGTTTGTTTTTGACCATTAAGCATGTACTTTTATCAAGGAAATTTCTGTGATAATAAAATCTAAAGAGGCATATTGAGAAAGCTAATGTGCTTTTCCATCCCAAAACTTGTCTGTCTGACATAATATTTTGAGCAGTTTAAAATGATTAAATGATTAAAGAAGAATCTCTTCTCTCATTTTTATTTTGCTATGCTACTTAGTTTTTAATACTTAAATAAAATTTAAAGTTGAACTTTTTTTACTTTCACTCAAGTATGTTTTGGGCTTGATACTTGTACTTTTAATTGAGTAAACCTTTCACTCAGTATGTACTTTCACTTAAGTATAACTTTTGAGCTGAAATTTAGATTTGTAATCATGGCTAATCAAATGATTATCATGCAAAGAAATCATAAAATGATTGTGATGGGATGCTAATAGGGATTAGAGGGGATAAAAGAGAAAAACTGTGTGGTGGGCTTAAATTACTATTTGAAGAAAGAAAACAAGAGATTTCATAAGTTGTGTTAATAATGATATGATTTATGTAATAAGACAACAATAAATATATATATATATATATATAGAGAGAGAGAGAGAAAATTAATGGAATTTTACATCTGCAGCCAAACTGTTGTACTCTGCTTGTCCTGATGTGTATTCAGCTAAATATAATTGATTATTTTGTACGTAAATCAGAGGGCTGCAGTATGGATCAGTTTTCTTTTTTAATAAATCTGCAAAAATGTCAACAATTCTGTGTTTTTCTGTCAATATGGGGTGCTGTGTGTACATTAATGAGGAAAAAAAATTAACTTAAATGATTTTAGCAAATGGCTGCAATATAACAAAGAGTGAAAAATTTAAGGGGGTCTGAATACTTTCCGTACCCACTGTATATATATAGAGAGAGAGA